GATTGTCACTGAGTTACCTGAATGCCAACGAATATTCCTGGCCTCCTGGGTGTGCGGTGACACTCTGGCAGCCTGCGAAGTGGCTCTGGAAACTTATAAAGTGCTAGCCTTGTCTGTCTCTTCGGCGCGGATACATCTGTTCCACATGGTTTTCAAATACTCCCCGCATTTTCGCGTTCTTTCAAAGGCCCTACGCTTCGGTTATGCGTTGTTGACTGCAATCACTGTCGAAGGGTATTTTTAATTCTAAAAGCCACACCCTGTAGCTTTGACTTTCTTCTCAGCTTTTGCAAAGTGTGAAACTCGGCAATACGAGACATGGAACTGGCGAAAACTCCGGTTAGCTCGCGTCAACACACTCACCAAAGCGTCCTGCAGCCATAAGTACTTAGCTCAAAGTGTTATCATTTATAAAACTTCAATTTTCAAAGGTAGCTGCTCCTGGAAAAAATATAAAAGGTACTTTTTTCCGACCACCAGACCCTCCCCAACTGTGTGCGGGCACCTAAAAGAGAAAACAACTTCAGGACTGGTGCATTTTTTCCGTCTGAGCGAAATCCTGCACGTGAATGGAAAATTCAGCAGGGTAGAACTGAATGCCACTTTTTCTATTTGAAGGGCATGTCTCGCTGAAACCACAGAAATAAAACAACCCAACAAATATATTCCTTTTTAAATAATTTTATCAATGTGCTTTACTTCGAAGCACCTGATGAATTGAAAAAGTAACTAAAGTCGACAGCGCAAAGCCTATCACTGCTTACTCTCTTATGCGGTGATTTTAATCGCGTGAATTTACGTGCCGTCACACTTTTAGGTCTTGCCTTCTTCAATACTCGCGCAGGTGCCCCTCTTGATCACATTCTGACCAACCACAACAAGCTTTTTTGCGTTAAGAGTAGGACTCCATTGTCAGTTTCTGATCATTCTACTTTATTGGGTCTTTCAAAAATCTATTCCACCTCTAAAACTGCACTGATAGCCAAGTCTGACAGACAGGTTAAGTTTCGCAACACGTCCGCACAAAACATTCGCCTGCTTCAGACTTGCATATCTTCTACTATCCCCGCTTTCCTTAAACAATCGAATGTAGAATCCTATTCTTTCAACCTAACAGCGTTTTTAAATGTAATTTTTGATATGCGCTGTCCTCTTGGCACTGTAATGGTAAGACCGGATAGAATTTCTTCCACGTTTCTGAAATTATTAAGACGAAAAAAGAACTCACTTACAAGCTAGGCTTACGTGACGGCCTTAAGGACGTTACCGGCTTATCCAAGTATGAGAGTTAGGGCTACAGTGAGAACTTGTCCGGCGTGATTCAGAGTGCAACGTGCGGGGAGCATTCAGTCATGCCGGGGAGGGGGGTTGGGGGCGTACATGGGAACAGGGTTTCGTCCATAATCGATCCTTACCATGGTAGTGCCAGGTTTATCACATGGTTCAACTGTTTACGGAGTTCTGGTTTCCTCCTCCGTATTGCAGCGGCCTCTGCAAAGCGCAAGAGACGCTTGATCGTCGACCGAAGCATGACCTTGAATGCAACCATTGGGTCCACCGTATGGCCCGTGTCCACTAGGTGCTTTGTGATTGAGTTCCTGGGTACCTTATTTTCCGCCTTAAGCAGCCACTTCGGCATGTGTTCAGCTGACCGAACTGCCAACTGCCTTTGCGTGCGCCCAATGTACTTGCATCCGCAACTACATGTAAACTCATAAATACAGTTTGATTTGGCGTGCATAGGCAAAATGTCTTTAGCTGGTCTAACTGGGATGGCCGTTGTGGTGCCTATGAACAACAATTTAGAGTCGGCATGCGTCCTTTCGATAGTGCACCGAAGTCGTCGCTTGATCACGTTTGACACGTTATCACCCTTAAATGGGAGGTAGATGGTCACGGACTTTTTACGTGCAGACATTTCTTCGGGAGTTTCTTGTCTGGGATGGTGATATTTATTGATGAATTTCTCGGGATACCCGTTTGCAAGAAAAACGTTCTTTAGGAAAGTAAGCTCGTCATCGATCGTATCTGAGGAGCAGATTCTGGTGGTTCTATTGAACAGGCACGAAATCAACTTTTGTTTTCTCTGAATTAGAACGAAACTGAGGAAGTGCATTTATTGTCCTTTCCAGATGGGTTTTTAATAGATGGATCTCTGAATGGAGCCATCTGCCCGTCCACGTACAAGAATATCCAGGAAAGGCAGTGTATCATTCTTCTCATGCTCGATGGTAAATTTGATCTTTGCATGTGCTTTTTCAGAGCCTGGAGTAGTAGTTTTCCGTCGCCTGGGTTTTTGACTATGGCGAAAATGTCATCCACATATATTACCGTCTTAATAAAAACAGAAATTAACGGGCTAAATAACTTGTTTGTTAATAAACATTGTCCCTCTTCTTCCTGTCCCCATTTCCCCCCTTCCTCTGCTGAAATTTGGAAGAATCTTATGCGTCTCACTGGCTATCGCAACACACCGGTACATGTGGATGCTGATTTAGACTCCCTAAATAAAGATTTTATATTTAGTCACAATGACTACCCTCTTCCCTCAGGTGACATTCTCCTATCACCATGTGCCTTCCAACCCGTGTCTGTGGCAGCAGTAGAGAGATAAAAAGGTCCGTGAATCAACAGCTGCCGGACTGGATGGTTTGTCGGCTTTTCTTCTTAAATCTTGTTGTTCTCGGATAGTCCCTGTCTTAACGCACCTAATTGGCACGTCTTTCATGGAGTCCAAGAGTCCCGACGCCTGGCGAACAGTGACTATCACTCCCATCCCTAAAAAGCCCGCTAATTTTGGTCCTAAATCTTTTCCTCCAGTTGCCTGCTCCTCCGCATTACTAAAGCTTACTAAAAGAGTTGTTCTAAATATTATAAAGCCTTTTTCTTCCAGTTTTTCCGACCCGTTACAATTTGCATACAAAGCCAAACGCAGTACTTTAGATTCTGTTGCTTTTGTGATTCACTCGTCTCTCAAAGAATTAGACAAGGGCTGCCGCGAGTACGCATGCGCTTTTCTTGACTACACCTCCATCTTTAATACCATCCCGCGCCCTCTCCTCCTTACCGAAACATCCGCATGCGGCTCTCTAGGCTGTTTCGTCTCTTGGCTTAGCGATTATTTTACTTCCCGCACTCAATTTGCCCAACCTGACAAGCGGAAATCTATGGTTCTTCCCAATGACTGCGGAGTTCTTCAAGGTTCCATTCTATCCCCTCACCTTTTCTCCCTCCACACCGACGATCTAAGATACCCTAATGACAGCCTTTTGGTTATGTATGCTGATGATGTGGTTGTTGGACATCCTCCAAAATTTCATACCTACCTCCAGTCTCTAAAGGATGGCCTAAACCATGTCCTAGTATGGTCGAAGGAAAAGGGTCTCCCAATGAACAACCAAAAATCGGTTTAGTGTATTTTCCGACTGTGGCTCTCTCCTATTCCTGAATCTTCTGACATCCTTCCTTACGAGGTATCCTCTTCCAGGTACCTTGGCGTCACCTTGTCATCAAATCTTTCATTTTCCCTCCACATTGAGTCCCTTTTTACTAAAGTCCGTAAACTTCTTTATTACACTCGTCGTTCACGTTCCTACCACACACCTCAACACTTAGTCTGGCGATTTATAGATGCCTGCATTCTTCCTCTTATTCTATACTGCTCTGCGTCATTTTTTCTGTTTTGCACAAAAAGATCATTTACTTTTAAAACGAGTCCTCCGAATGCTCTCTTCTACTGCTGATGTTTCTTATCTTTTTTAGTCGATATTATCCTGCAACGACATTTCAATACGGTCCGGAAATTTGCTCGTCAGATTATAGATGACGTTGCGCATCCCTTGCATTCTGATCTTATTTCTGCAAAGTCTCCCGCCCGATGCGCCGCAGCTTCCGACTTATGTTTTGTCGCACATCGGCTTTTCGAGCTTCTGTGCTTACATTCCTGGCGCGCTATCTTACGTGTGAAAAGATAGAAATACAGAAGTTAAGACTTGAACTGTCCGCATATTAATCATTCCTTTTGTGTTAGAATTTTTGGCTCTGGAATAATCGACTAACTTATTTACTGCACATAGTGAATGGAGCCAATTTTTTGCTGACAATTTTGAATTTATGATTTCAAAATAAAGCGAATTCCTCTCTCTCTCTTCTTGGTTCTTGTCTAGCGAATCAGCGTTTCCTCCCCACGGCATGTTTCACTTTGCGGGAATTTGGGTAATTTCATAGCCTTCCAGAAACTGCAATTTTGCCTCGGGTTAGTGCGTAGAGAGAGGCAGACTAAGCCAACCCAGAGTAATTCATTCGTTTTCACCATAGCTACGCTGTCATGGCTTGCACAACCTGTTGCAACAACAGACCGACAGGAGGCAGCTTTCACGCTGTCCATGAGCAGGCCTCGCGCTATTGTTTTTCTCATCATGCACAACACGCCAGCCCACGCGTGTTTTGCCAAGCAAAGCGACGTGCACCGACAGGCTGACTGTTGTCTGCCTTATTTTGAAGAGGTCCACTACTCTGTAACCGTTGCGGTTAACTGAGCACACCGCTTAGCATGGTGACGGCTTCACGCATTTACCCCTCTCCCACTTTGACGTCTAGACTGAGAAAGGAAGGCTGTCAGAAGGGGGAGAGTTAACTCCGTAACGGGACCGCGGTCAGATGTGGTTATGTAGCCGCACCTGAGGCAAACAAACCCCAGCCACCTGTGATACGGGACCGATGGTAACGGGGGTTTTTACAGGTGGGGCCAGGGCACGCACAGACGACGAGGTCAAGTAATTGCATGCAAAAGAAGAGTTATAGGGAATGCGCGGTTGTACTGTGAATGGTTGAGAAATAGTCAACCTAGCCCCTAACCCTAACCATGACCCCAACCTCTGACCCTAATTCCTAACCACTTAACCTCTAACTCTAACCCCTAGCCCTAACCTACTAGCCTCTAACCTTAAACCAGACCCCAACCCTAATCCTTAACCGCAGCCCTAAACCCTAATCCTAAACATCCAACGCGAAAGACAGAAGGAGGCAACAGGGCGGAAGTGAAGAAGGACCACCGGCATTAGGCCAGAAAAGGTAGACACGGCAACAAAGAAACAAGTCCGCCAACAGAACACACATCGCGACGCACAGCAACACCATGCCAACGTAAGCACACTAACTCAAAATAATTAAGTAGGCCAGCAGTATTGTGTCCATCAGGTGCGGCAACATAACCACATCTTACCGGGACCGCAGTTGTTGACCCCGGCTACGAATGCTCTACATGTTGTATTTATTACCCAAGCGCAACCAGACCTCAAAAATGGCCCATTCATATTCTCATGCTATTTTATGGGAGTCAGTTGCTCATAAAAACTTGTGACCTAGCATGTGATGTAGGATAAACTCCTCAATATTGGAAACTGACTTTTTCTCCTCAGCTGTGCTCTTGAAAGGTGCGATAGATGCGGCTGTTGTCACAATAACTCGAATATAACATAGTAAAAATGTACTCCCCTCGAACCTTGGCAATCATGCTTCTGCTGAACACTAGAGATCTGATGGTAGTTTTTGTCTACTCTACCTCTAGTCCTTTTAGTTACTGACATTAACATACCTGAGCGACAGCCCAGCATATAATCAGCAGGGTTATCACTGGCGGCTACAGTCCACACTGATTATTGGTCGTTGGACAACGTAACCAGCCAAGGCCGCTTTCCTATCTCCCACATTCAAGACCTTACCGATGCTTTTTTCGACAAGGTGGTCCTTTCTAGTGTTCACGTGGTTGGGGCTTTCGACCGCGTCCAGTTGCCTCGATAATGGTCTTCATCATCTCCCTATGGCGCCTGCTAGCTCATAAACATGCTCCTTTGATCCTAGAAACGTCTTCTTAAAATCCACAGAATTTCGTCGTCAGAGTCCTCCACAGCTGCAGTGGCTAGACTAAATAATATACGAGATACGGAACCCTGATGTCTGTTCACCCCCAATAGTTTGGCGTCACCCGGCGCAATTTCCCTACAATTCGTCGACCATCTAGTTAGTTCAGTTGCCATCTACCTCCTCTCTTTCAGAATTGCGATCTTCCACGTGTTCCTGCAGTCCGCCTCTAAATGCCGCTCCCAGCGTTCCATGGGCAGGATGGACTTCTACCACCGGTTCCTTCCTAACTCTGTACACGTCCTCCTTCAATTTGTGAACCTCCTTTCTGATCCCAAAAGTTGGCTCGAGCCGTCTTTGATAAAATGGGCTACCCTGGCTGACGCAACCCTCCTCACTTACGCATTCCTCCTCACACCCCTTTTCTCTGTGGTAGGCTTCTGGAATGCTGCCACTGGAGAAGATCCTCGAAAACGCATCGGTGCTCAGATGCATCCCAGCCTGCCTCCCTGATGAGTTATCACCTGCCGGAATCCTGCACGACACCACCGACCAATGGCTTTCCGTTCTGTGGCGCAGTGTTAAGAATTCCGCCGACATCTTCCCGGGGGTCATGGCTTGTCCATTTGCACAGGTCACGAGCTCTTCACACTTATCCATAGCTCCCCTACAAACAGACTCAGTCCTCGGGATACTTGCCAGCCTGCCTACACATTACAATTCACTTGAGACATCCCTCATGTCGACATAGCGTGGAATGAGATTCCTGATCTTTTATCCAGATCAACTTCGCACATTTTGAACAGGGTGCGACTGCACGCCCTGTCTACCTAGCAACGGCGGTGTATCCGGTCAGCAAACCTTGACCCATTCTCTCATCGCTGTCGACGACACCATCTTCCGTGCCTCCATCCCTTCTCCGCACATTCTCTCCCATGCTGCGTAGATCTCCCCAACTAATGATCCAAGTTACAAGAAAACGGACTTCGAAAAGCGAGACTAGACGTTGCAGGAAGAATTTTGCTGTGCAAGCGTTCGGTAGCTAACTACAACGCTAGCGTTTAACTCTTAAGCCTTTAAGGAAAATTCAAACATAACCGTAACCCTAACCCAAATCCCAAAACCCTAACCTTTAAACCTTAATTTTAATCCCAAAAGTAACTCCAAAACCCTAAGTCTAAACGTCAGCTTTCTTCTCAACCCCACATACAAGCCATAACCTAAACCTGGCAACCCTAGCCCTAAGTATAGCCCATTTCCTAGCGCAACCCTAACTTTGAGCCCGATAGAGCAACTTTAAAGTCGATAACGCTAGCGAAGGTCATGATCCGCATATCGCATGTCATATTTTGCAACCTGTTGGCAAGTAAGCCATTATGAAGCACCAATAACTAAAAAAGATAAGAAGATAGATTTTCGAACAATCACCCGGGGGAGGTTGCATATTCTACCCTTACTAAGGTGGTTTTCCAATAGTAATGAAACCTGGATGTGTAAAAAACCCTCTCAATCAGTCAGACATGCAGTAGTTCCAGGAAAGACGATAGAGAAACCGATCGCCTACGTCGTCTAAAGCTAATTGCGTACACGCGAGCACGGTCAATGGCAGAGCCTGCTAATATTTGTCAAGCATTTTGTCCTGATAGCGTGATAGGCAAGGCACAGACTGTCTCCAGTTCATTCCTGGCACATCGGAGTGCTTCCGGGCATCGCGCAGTCTCTGAGTAAGTCTTTAGGGTAATCTAACTGAATGCCAAATGACCACTGAAGGTCACGGAAGAGACGCATCATAACGGCAGCAAAATTGATGGCTTGCTGATTAGTCAACCTAGCTATCTGACCTCGGAAGAACTTCAGATGGCCTTTGCGCCTACCATTCCCCAAATCGGGCCTAACATCACTCGCGTACTCGAAAACTCTAAGCATACATCCTTGACCTTTCCCCCTCCCCATTACCTCCCACCCGAAATTGCCGTCTGAACCCGTTAAGGATCAGACACATGTTCCAAACCTGCCAACCTTACGAACGAGCACAGCACAGGGAGAAGGTGACTACTAACATAGGTGGGGATTGGCTTGATAAGCATTTAATGAAAACGGTTGTTCATCAGTGTACTTACTAATCCTCGTCAAATGCGTGTAAAAACAGATGAAAGGCGCGCTCAGGTTATACATGGAAGAAGGTAAGTGTGTCTTAGGGTCATTTAAAGAGGGCCTCTGTAGTCTGATAACTTCAGAGGTGGCCAAGTTGCGGGGTTGGGAAGGCGACAAAAGACACTTAGAGGAGCGGCGCACGGTGTGAAAAGAAAATCATGGCGGGAATCTTCATCTTTCGTGGTATGTTAGCCCAAGGTACAGTAACCCAGATAACTCAACAAATGCATGTTCGTGTGCGTTGGTGGTCATATAAACAGCCGACGGCAAGCAAATGCGACGAGGTCGCCGCCGAAATTGGCTGTTTACAGACAAAGAACCACGAATGCCAGCAGACGTACACACGGATTGGACAAGAGCGGGCCAATAATGGGGCGGGATGTGTTGTCGCCTCTGTGGAAGGGCCGTTTTCAGCCCTGTTTACTCCCTGAGATCAAGTGGGCTGTGCCCACAGGTCTTTTCCGAACTATTGAAAGTTAGGGTCGTACGATTTTAAAAACTGGGACAAGTGACTGGCGGACGTATGCCAAGGCTAAAGAAGTCCAGGGTCACCGGAGATCGACGCAACCAGCATCCTCCTCCAGTACGAGTAGGCAGGATGTTCGAGGGGTTTTAGCACTTTAATAAATAATTGTTGCGTGGCATCCTTCTGCTAGGAGATAATGCATAACGTGAAAGTTTGCAGCATTGCTGACAATAAAAGTTGAAATCGGAAATAATTAGAAATCACTTTTCTTCTGTCTCCGAGGCGTTCCAGAGGAACCTGCGAAAGCTGCAGACCGAATCAAAACACATTCTCGAAACCAGAGGGAGGCTCCATTATCCGTGACATCACTTACTTCAATGTTCGCAAAGAAAATTCAACTCTCAGCCAAAAGTACTAATTTACGCCACTGCACTGGAAATACTACCGAGCTTGTCAAACGGTCCTCTCTGAACGGCGTCAACTGAGATCCTTTCGGGACTGCCATTCTAAAAATAGCGACCGCGACCGTACACTGTTGTCTGCTGCAGAAATTGGAGGACCCTGGCGGCAAGAGTTCAGAGCGAGAGGGGACTGCCATCTGAGGCACAAAAGGGCTACTTTGGTGTTACTAATGTGAAGACATTTCAGTGAGTGAGACGTGGGGTCGTAAACGACGGCGACGGTGATAGTGACGACTACGACGACTACTACTCCAACTTCTGGTACAACATCCACTACTGTGACGACGACATTTCGATCGTTGCAATCGACGACCCCGCCGGGTCTCCCATGGAGTTGGCGCGACGCTGAGCCGTACTGCTCCAGTGCCAGATGCACGACGTGATCCGCACTGCATGTAACTGACCTCTGTAGGGAGCGGGGCCGAGATTATACGCCAATGGAAATGCCATAAAGGCCACACTGAGGAGTCGCTGCAGTCTGACTGGCTATCCTGAGAAGAGCCGAGTTATCGCGTCAGTTTGTGGCCTTCCAGGCCGAGCCTCTTATCACGTCGTGATAGGTTGAGGAGCGGCAAACGTATTAGGGTGCGGGATGCGGTGATTTGCCGCAAGGATAGATTCAGCAGCGTCGGCCTCACTTTCTGTTATGACCCGCCTGATACTTGAAATCCCGTGGAACTTGTGCGCACTCGCCCCTTTTCCCCAATACCAAAGCAGCAGACAAAGTAAACACGGCCGGCCACGGAAAGCGAATAAGAAAAACACTGCAAGTCGCGACTAACTGAAGGGTGACGCATATTTATAACACCCTACTGTGGTTCGCCAGCATTCGGCCCAGTGACCTTCGGGAAGAGGGCAGTAGCCAATGGAGAGGCGCCCGATTAAGATGACTGCGCTGTAGAGAGAGCAAACGCACGTGGTCTGCAGTGATTGGTTGGCTCTTGTTTTTTGGGAGTGTAGGCACTCCCAACACTTTCTGCTCCCTCTCCCATGCACCAGTCGACTGCTTGAGCCTGTTAACCAACGCTCGATGAGACTGAGCGCAACGGATGGCGCGGTGTAAAAGCCTACCCCCAAGACGTTACATTATGAGCTCGTGAAGACGCAACGCAGCCCCGTTAACGGGTGCCGCGAGTTAATCTTATTCACATTCTTGTCCACTGCATCTGTAGCCCAACCAGTTGATGGGGTCAGAGTATGAACCTCAGCACTGAAGTTGTGCTGTTTAACCACTCTCCAACTTCACTGAGGTCCTTCGAGACGCGAAACTGCGGAATGCTGCAACCACAAGGGAATCAGGCTGGTCGATGTCGCCGATTCACTTGACTTCGATAGGGACGCATGGACACAAGAAGATTCGAGGCAGTTTTCGACCTGACATATGGCCGCCAAGGAGATATCTACCCTATGATTAGGCAGACATGCGTTTTCACAGAAATTTACTGTCTGGTTTCTCGATTTTGCTGTTGCCTTCGGTTCGGTCCAGGAAACCGAACTATAGAAAACAATGGAGAATTGAAACATGTCTCAGAAACCATTAATCTGAGAAGGGTCTATTCCAAACTCACGTGGCCAAAAATTCCAACTCTACGGCGAAGAGAGCTAGTACTTCCTCCGCGCCGCCGACTACTAACGTTGCTGTCCTCTCAACAGTCCTCCTTAACTGATTCTGTTTTATCAATATAACTTAACGACTAGAAGATCGGCCAACTCAGCAAAGTACCATTTTTGACTTTGATTAAGCTGAAGACGTTGTTCGGTGTTGAAAATGCCGTTAGCGAAGCGAAATTGGTCGTGTTTGAAACTTAACTTAAACCGAACGCTAGGAGCTTCAGAATGGCGGTCACCACTTTTCGTAGATTGCAGGCAGATCGAAGTGGTTGACAGATGTGACTGCCCCGTTCGTCTGTGGGTTTCTCAGTGGGTCGAAGTGCGTGGGAGATACCGTCGTACATTGTAGCCAACAACCATCATTCCGATGGTTGGACTCTTTGTTCAAGCAGTGTCAAGGTCATTTGCCTTCCCAGGGACGGTTTTCGACGTCCCAACTTAACAGACATGGCATTAGCAGCATGCGCAAACGTGCATATTCGGACGGTCACAGCCACCCATGTCCCAACTAAACATGTCGCTCAATAAATAATGCAATACACACCACTTGGACATTAAGACACTTGAATCTGCTCCCATAAACCTAAAAAAGCGGATAGGCACGACGGCTTAGAGCTGGCCATTACCGGGGACTCTGACCACCGTTGGGTTTCTGAACAGAATAGACGACTTCTGCTGGTGTCATTCTGTTTCTCCTCCAAAGCGGGACTGAGTCATTATTTTTAAGTAGTTAAGACACATCCACTTTCCAAGCCGCCACAAAATAAATTGTGCATAGTTGGTTCTGTCGATCTGCAAAGTGCTTGGGGTTTTGTCATGAA